CCATTTCTAGAGTGTACTGTGTGGCTGGGCTCTCGGGTGGGTGGGGTGGGTGTGGAAAATCATGTTTACATAATAATAAAAGTAGAAGTAAGACTTCCCATGAAATCTGTCACATGCCAGGGCCAGCGCTAAGCACATTTCATGTACCAACTTGAAATCCTCCTCACAGCCCTTTGAGATGGGCTCTATCATTATCCCCTCTATAGATGGTGGAAACGAGGCACAGAGAGTTTAAGTGCCTTGCCCAAGGTCACACAGCTGGCAAGCAGCAGAGCTGAGATTTGAACCCATAGTCGAGGCCTTTAGCCCCTGGACTTGATCCTGATGCTCCCAGCAGGTGAGCTTGGATGTTGCTTCCCCACTGTGAGCCTCGGGCTCCTCACCTGCATGTGTTCCTGGATGTTGTGTGAGTGAGAGATCGCAAAGACCTGGGACACGGCGGGCTGCCAAATGCCACTGTGGTTGTGATTAGTCAGTGGGTCCTGGGTCAGCGGAGAGGGGGCTCTAGGGAGGGCTGCTCTTGGCATCGTTACAAGTGTCATCCTTTGCTGAATATCTCATTTCTTTCTAGCAAAGCCTTATTTCTTTGGGGCCCAGGCTGACGTGCCTGCCTCGTCCTGTGCCTTCCACCTGCCAGCCATTGGTCTTGCGGCCCTTTCCCCCAGCAGAGGGAGGAGGTAGCTGGATCCTAGAAGCAGGTTTCTGGGGTCACTGGGCCACTGGTGGCCTCTGGCCTTCAGGTCAGGGACAAGGTGGATCGTGGCCTAACAGCTGTGTGTCTGGGGTGAGCTGGCCTGGCAACGGTGGTGGGAAATTGAATTTCCCACCCATCTGCTTGGCAGCTGTGGTGCAGCCTTCCTGGCCAGGTTGGCAGAGCCTGCCAGAGCTGGGAATGGGTGGGCACTGTGCCCACTTCCTGCTGTTAAGCTGGGAACCCATTTCCTGGTGGCATTTGGGGCACAGAAAGGAGGGCAGCCCTCTTCTGCACTGCCAGCCAGGGCCTGTGTTCGGGGCTGCCCTACAAGGTGCTTTGGCATTCCCTCTGGACCTGGCGTTTGACAGAGAAGAGTCCTGGATCGATGTCCAGGTCCTGCTGCTTGTTTGGCCAATTTATTTACCTTTCTGAGCCTCATTTTCCTCATCTGTGAAATGGGGATGTTTATAGTGGAGGCTTGCTCATAAAGCCCTCCAGAGGTTTAATGAGATAATGTGCTTCACTCCAGGCTTGAATGGGCAGGGCTGACAAGGACCCGGTGAGGTGGGGTGATTTGTCACATGCCTGGTGACCAGGCTCCGATGCGGGCCCCCCTCCCCTAGTTTGGTGGCCTTTCTATTTTACTTTACAATTACCCTGAGCTCAGATCCCTTTGCCCTGCTGGAGTTCTCTCCAAGTGGGTGTTCATGCAGCCCTGTTTCTCTCCTCTGATTCTAATCTCTGCTTCCTATTCCCAACCGTGAAGCCCCTGCTTGCTGTGTGGATGAGCAGGTGGGCAAGGGGTGTGCTTTTGTGGGATCAACACCTTCTGGCCAGCCTGGGGCAGTGGGAGAGAAACAGGGTCTGGCTCTGTGGCAGGTATGGCCAGTATCCGGGCGGCTTCTCCATCAGGCCCCAGAGGCCAGGCCCAGAGTCCGTGACACTTTCAGGGCCCCTGGATGGTGTTCTGGTTTGAATTTCTTTTGACATCAGAAGAAGAAAGTGAAGAATATTAAATAGATAAAAATGAATCCAGCCTGGATTGGGTTTGTCTTTATAAACAATCATAAAATATAATTTAAAAAAATTTTTTTCGGGAGAAAGAGGCCCGTGAAAGTCACGCTGCAGTTCTGGCCAGGGGGCTGTGGCTCCAGCTGGATCTTTCTATGAGGGAAGAAGGGGGATGCCAAGGCCATCCACCAGCCTTGTCTCATTCACAGACACCCTGGCATTCTGTGTAAGTGCAGGGCAGAGCCTGAGGCCGGCCTCTCCCGTGGCCCACCCTGCCCATCTGTCCAGTCTTTGGGCCTGAGCCCAGCCCCCTTCCTCCTGGCCAAACTAAGTCAAGGCTGATTGCAGTGCTCCTTCCCAAGCAGGGTCAGGGCTCTGAGTCACAGGAACTGGGGGGCTGGCAGAGGAGATGGGGGCTGCAGGGTCTCCAGACAATGATAAAGAGCCCTGGAGCTTTAAAGCATTGGAACCAGGGTAAAAGTAGTTACCTCATTCTGGATAGGGAAACTGAAGCACAGAATGGTAAAGGGGTTCACCCGGGTTCCCCAGTGGGGCCGAGACAGCATGGGGGCCCTGCCTAGGCTTCAGGCCTTCAGGCCAGTGTCCCTTGCCCTGGACGCCAAGTCAGAGGAGGGGAAGTCGTCACTTCTGTCAAGGTGTTGCGAACCTAGAATCGGTGGGCACCTTTCCCTCTAGAAAATCCCTGGGAGCTGGGGGTGTGGCCCCATCTGCTGGATGTTGTTATTGTAGTCTCGGCTCCTCTGAAGTCGGGGAAGGAGGGGTGGGGGTTGCAGGGACAGGCTGAGGCAGCCCTCAAGGTGGGCAGACCCTCCAGTCCTGCCCTGTCCTGGGCTGTTGGCTGGCATACTTCAGGGGGGCTGTTCTCTCTTCCTGGGTGTTCCAGGGCCCCCTCACAGAGCTGCCTCCCCACTGGCACATGGTAGCTGTCAGCTGATGAGACCTGGAGCTCCCTAGGGAGCCCAGCATCTTCTGTAGTCAAGAAGTTGCATGAGAGAGTCCATGGGTGCAGGGCATTCGCAGCTCCTGCCCTAGAGACCTGCCCAAAGCCACGGCAGAAAGGGCCATCCCTGGGGAAATCTGATGGCGGTAGAGCCAGCTACCTCACAGTCCCTCCCTTCAGAGGGTCACCTGGGAGTCTGTGAGGAGGGGGCTTGGAGCCTGAAAGCAGAGGTGGCTGAGCCTGGAGGATGAGGCCCTGGAAGGAGCCCGGGGTGGAAGCCCCACCCCGCCACGTGCTGCAGGATCAGGACTGGCCCCGCCCCTCCCTTGGGCCTCAGTCTCCCATCTGCACAGTGAGGGGACCAGAGGACCTTCAGCTCTGCCGTACAGGGTTCTGGGGTCCTGGCTTATTTAGGGGGCTCCAATGAGGAACAGGGGGATGGCTGCACGGGAGACCGAGTCACCGTTTTCTGGACAGGATGTGACACTAGATTTAGTTGCTTTGGGATTCACTTCTGGAGAAGACAGAAGAGGTACCAAGTTGTCCCTGAGTAATAGGGGGAAGGCAGGGTTGTGGTGGCTGAGAGCCTGGACCTTAGCAGCAGCCAGACCTGGGCTTTGATCCCAATTCTGCCATTGACTTCAGTCTGCGTTTCAGGCTGGTTCCTTAATCTCTCTGGTCCTCAGTTTCCTCATCTGTAAAATGGGGTTGTGATACCCATTTCATAAGTTTACTGAGAACACGAATGAAATCATGTTTCTAAAAGCACCATCACCATAGCTGTCAGTAGGCATTCCAGATGCTCCCCTTTGTACATGTTATTCACTTATTATTACGAGTCAGCTGTTGCTTCTCAGAGGTAAGGGCAGGGCTGGGAGGGGAACAGGGAAGAGAGCATGCTCTGCAATATCCCACAGTCGGAACACAAAGCTGGGCTGTTTGGCTAAGGACAGAGGGGGTCAAGAAGTAGCCTGAGAGAGACAGTGGAGGGAGGCCTGCCTGGAGGAGGGAGCTTTGAGCTGAGCCCTGCAGGGAACTGGGCAGAGTACAGAAGGCAGGCTCTGGGGGTACCTGTCCTTGGAGATGAGCCTCAGCTCTGCCTGGGAGGCCCGGGGAAGGGGAGGGGGAACAGCAAAGCCATGCCCCCAGGGCCAGGGCTCTGCAGGACCAGTAACCCCAGCTGAAGCACCTGAATCAGAGGCTTTCTTGAATTCTGAGCTGCGGCAGCTTCCAGGCCCCAGTGAGAAAGGACAGTGGTGTGCGGGTGGTGTCTGAGGTTGGGCCCAAGACTGTCTTCCTCCTTCGCAGTGATTTTCCAAGTTGTGTCTATGTCTCCCTGGAACTTCCCTACTGCTTGAAGCCAGGAGGGGAATTTGATGTCATGATTTGGATGGATAGGGGAGATTTCTGGAAAGAGATTGCAAGAAGAAAGAGGCGGAGGGTTTTCCATGGTGCTGGATGCAATGTGTTAAAAACAGGTCGAGGGACCTTCCAGGTCATGGGTCTGGGGACAGGGACCTGAGGACAGTGCCCAGAAGCTGCAGGGCACAGGGCCTGGACCTGTCTGGAGTTGGACCTGCTTCTGGCCCGCAGAAAGGGGGAAAGGATCATGAGTTTCTGTTTTGGGAAAGAACTTATTTCCACTCCCTGATTATTAAAGTAAGAGAATGCTTAGAAAAAATTTTGGAAGAAACACTACAATCTGTTAACCGTGGCTACCTTGTATGAAGGGCATGGGATTTGGGGCGTGTGGGACAGAAATTAAGGAAATAAACCCTTGTGTGTTGCTTGAACATTTTTTTCTAACTCAGGTGCGCAGGGCGGCCTGGCTGATATCCGTCATCCCGGTGTAAGGATGCTCTTTTCACTCTCAAGTGTCCCACTGGGACCATAAATATAAGTTCAAGTTATTTATCAGCCTGTTTTGATTTTGTGGTAGAGATTTATATGCTTATTATACAATGTTCAGCAAGCAGAGAAAGATGTACTTAAACAAAGATGTTCTAGAATCTCCCCAGAAGTTGGCTTTTTGGGGTCATGGAAATGGTTCCCGGAGTCCAGGGCACCAGTGAGAGGAAGCTCCTGTGGCCCAGGAGGAGGGCGGCAGTGGGGGAGCTCGGAGGCGCTGGGGCTCCAGAGGTGGGCTTCCGGGAGGTGTCGCCGCTGGGAGCAGGCGTGCTGCTTCCCTGCACGTCTGGGCAAAGCGAGGACCTCGAGACCCCATGCAGGGTGGGAGGTGCGTGGGCAGCTTCATCCCACCAAAGGCCACTCCCTCTGCCTCATTGTCCCCATGCGCTCTCCAGGGGTGGGCCCTGCCAAGTTCAGGAGCCCTGGAGATGGGTCAGCCCCAGGTTCACAAGGGTGAGGCTGGAAGAGAAGGAACCTTCCAGAAATGGGAGGGGAGGCAGTCCTCAGAACAGTGCTCTGGGGGCTGCGTGCGTCCAGCCACTGGGGTGTGGCTGACCGGTCACCTCCCTGCAGATGCACCCAGCTGAAGGAGCTGCCCCGGGATGTCACAATGAAACTAGGGAGGAGTGCCCTCCTAGCGTGCTGGGCCACCGGCTGCTGCCCCAGACTCACCTGGCACCATGGAGATGGCCAGCCACTGGGGCCCAGGCGGGGCAGCAGGACTGGGCAGCCTGATTCAGGAGTGCTGTTTTTTGAAAATAAGAGACTGGGGCTGAGGGATGGTGGACAGGGAGACAAAATGGCTTCCAACACCCTCAGCCCCCAAGCTGGGTGGCCGGGAGTAGGACCTTGACTGCCAGGTCTGGCCTTGGGTCAGGCTGATGCAGGGTCACATTTTGGCTGGGGGACTAGTCACGCCATCCCAGTCATGCTAGTGATGATGACAGTACCTACCACCTGGGCTTAACAACAGGCCACCTGAAGAAATCGTTGGGGAATGAATGCACGTAAATCTCTGAGCACAGTTCCTGACACAGAGTAAGCGTCCCTCGTCATCACCATCACCAGCTCGTCACCATCACTGCTGCTACTGTTACTTCCTACGTGCCGGGCCCAATGCTGAGCTCTGTATTTGCACCACCTGTTGACCCCTCCAATCACGCTACAAGGTGCAGGTTTTGATAAATGATCCCCATTCTACACATGAGCAAACTGAGGCCTTCTAACCCTTCCAAGGCCCAGCTGTATCCCCCATCTGTTTCCTCCCCGCCGTCCCAGCCCTCTTACCTCTGCAGGGCCAGGCTGTGCCCAGGGCTCTGTCTGCACCTGGGGAGCTGGAGCCTGTGGGGGCTGGAGCCATGGTCTGCTCTGACAGTCAGGCCTGCCTCTTTCCTGCCCCGCAGGTGTGGTCCCTGAAGACCAGGCCCTGTACGTCTGTGATGCTCAAAATGTCTTTGGGAAGGTGCAGGCAGAAGCCTGCCTCATCGTGACTGGACACGGTTCACTGGTGGGTCTGGAGAGGAGGATTTGGTGGGGAGGCTGGGCACCCCTGGGGTGGCCCCCATGCTTGCCTGTCCTTTGGGACAGGTGTGTCCATAGCCAGGTTCTCTAAGAGGAGTATCTGGACCCCTACTTCCTGGGCAGTGTGCCTCAAGAAGTGTGCCCTTTGACCCTATAGGATCCCCAACCCTGATGATTCCACTGGGGTGAGGGGCCTCTGTCCCCTGAATGACCACCCACAGGAATCCAGTATGTCTGACACTGTCTCCTCTCCCCACAGACCCCCCACAGATCGCCAGCAGCACCTCCACCGTCCGGGTGCTGGAGAGGCAGCCTGTGTGCCTGCCCTGCATCATCCTGGCTGGGAGGCCCCACCCCGAGAGGTGCTGGCTCAAGGCCGGCCGGTGAGTGCTGGGCTCCCGGTGCCCAGGTGGAGGCGCTGTCACCTTCACGCCTTAGCCTCCGCTCTGTGGTTCCCCTGTTTTGTTCTGTCTTGGTTTTTATTTATTTACTTTTTAATGAAGTATAGTTGATTTACAATGTGTTGATTTCTGCTGTACAGCATGGTGATTCACTTACACATATGTTCCCTTTCAGATTCTTTGTCATTCTAGGCCATTACGAGGTATTGGGCATAGTTTCCAGTGCTGTACAGTGGGACCTTGTGGTGTATGTATTTTATGTAGCGGTTCCCCTGTTTTGGAATGTCCTCTTCCTTCCTCCCTCTTTCCTGCCTCTTTCCAGAGCCCTCTCTGATAATGCGCTGATGGAACCCTTCAACCTGTAGGGTCCTTGGCCGGAGGACCTTGTGCTTCATTAGTGCTGTCGCTGAGCAGCAGCCGTTTTGTGGGGGCACAGACACAACAAATTTGTCACCCCCACTCTGATGGTTCCAGGGCAGAGACAGGACCTGTGCAGCTTAACATTTGGCGTGGCTGCCTGGCACGCTGCTGGGTACACAGTGGCTGCTTCGACCCTTCCCATCAATTTGATTTTCTTTATTATCCTCTGTTTCCCCTCTCTTGTTCACTCTTTCTTTGTTGCTCCCTTTTCTTCAGTGCTTATGGCCTGTCCTCGGACATATTGGGGTCTTTGCCCTGGAGGCTGTAAAGAGGTGCCCTCACCCCAGCAGACGGCAGACACTAGACATGCAGGGAGGCAGTGACTCTGTGGCATCTTTCTATTCCCTCTGCCCTGGTCCTAGCCCCGTTTTCCCAGCCCTGATGCAGTGCAGACAGGGTCCAGTTCTCGGAGCGTACAGGCTTGGAGACTGATCGTGCCTATGACACCCTCTGCAGTCTGTATAATTAGATGTGACCCCGAGGAGGACCCTGCCTGGGCGTGTGGGCTGGGGCAGTGAGACACCTGCCTGGGTATAGTCCAGCGGGCCTCATCCATACCAGGATGGGGAGTAGCCAGAGACGCAGAGCCTGTTTTGGCTCAGTGGGGACACTGGGTGGACCCGTGCGTGCCCAGCTGCCAAGCGCAAGGAGCAGAAACGCTCTCAAGCTCGCTGAGCCTCAGAGGGTCCGGTACCAAGACAGCCAGGGGAATATCCTGGACCCTGAGGGCAGAATGTGCAACGAAGTTCACGGGACAGGGACAGGGAGGCCCAAAGCCGGCTTAGGCCTGGTGGAAAGTTTTGGGCCCCTCATCAAGAATGGACTGGCTGGACTTCTTTACAGAAGTTGCCTCATGCCCCATTCTGGACCAGCACTCCCCGCCCCACCCTGGTCCTGATGGGGACACACTGGGGCAGCCACCAGGATGCTTCT